GTGGGGGCGCGGGGGGGGGGGGGTGGGCAGGGCAGAGACAGGAGGGTGGAGCCAATCCTTGATGGCAGTAGGACATGATGTAAAGACTTCCTGCTTAAAGAGATCCCCACCCCACCCCCAATACCACTTCCCAACCAAGGACCGGAGCAAGCTCAGACAGACAGACAGACAGACAGACAGACAGAGCTCCTGAGGTTAGTGGATTCAGAAGCCACAACTAGAATCTGAGGACTTCACTTCTTCCCTTAAAGGGACTTGGCTGCAGAAAGGACAGGGGACAGAGCGAGCCTGGGTTTGAGGAGGGAGAAATGGGAAGGACAAGCGGGGCCAGGGCAAGGGTAAACAAAGGGCAGGCCTAGACACCACCACCTCCAGCAAGGGAGTGGCCTTAAGGGCTTGCCCACCCTCTCTCCCTATCACCTACTGTGGCTCCCACCTCCCTGGGTGCCTCCAGGTGGCTCCAGCCCTTTGCTCTTGTTCCAGAAGACGGGGGTTTGAGCGTGCCGACTCAGAGTACACCGACAAGCTGCAGCACTACACCAGTGGCCACAGTACGTACACGCCCTGGGGCCCTTCTCTGCCGTCTCCATGGAGACCCCTCCAGCTGCTGCTTCTCCTCCTCCTCCTTCAAGACTTATTTGTGTTTAAATATGTATGTGTGTGCATGAGTGTATGTGTGTTGCATGAGCGTGTGAGCCATGGAGAGTTGGGGTGTGGGGGGGTGTACACCTACCTATGCCCACACAGAGGACATCACATCCCTTGGAACTGCAGTTACAGGTGCTTGTGGGACACCTGGCTTGTTACATGGGTGCTGGGATCCGAACTCCGGTCCTCATGATGTGCAGCAAGTGATCTTAACCCCTTCGTCATCTCTCCTGCCCTTCTCTAAGGCCAAGTCGGTCCTGGATGTGCCAGGCTGCCTCTGACTCTTTAGCTTTTGCACCCGCTGTTCCATGTGCACTTCCTGTGATGACCCCATCATGCACCACCACCACCATCCTTCCCTGACTCCATCCATCCTGATCTTAACCCCAATCTGAGCCAGTGCAGCCCATCTTACCAGAGACATTGTCCTAGCTGTTGCCTGGTCTCCCTGCAGATATAGCAGGTCTTCTCCAGATCTGAAGTTGTCTTCCTGGCACTAACAGGGCACCCAGCACATAGTGTGTACCACACATATGTGTGAGCTATGTAGGGAGATGGACCTAGAACCTCGGGGTGTGTAATAGGGGTTTAAGTGAGGGCCTTACTGAGAGTGTTTCATTTGAACAAAAACAAAGGCACTTGGAGAGTGGGCTGCTCAGATATCTCCAGAGAATAATAGCATTGCAGGCCAAGGGGATAGCCAGTGAGAGCCCTGAAGGCCAGGGGGATAGCCAGTGAGAGCCCTGAAGGCCAAGGGGATAGCCAGTGAGAGCCCTGAAGAACAGGGGGATAGCCAGTGAGAGCCCTGAAGAACAGAGGGATAGCCAGTGAGAGCCCTGAAGGCCAGGAGCATAACCAGTGCAAAGGTCTGTAAGTGGAGCAGGCATGGCTAGGGCAGAGTGGGAGTGGGAATGGGAGGTGGGAGTGAGCCTTGTAGAATTTTGGCTTCTCTTCTAAGTGAAGTGGGTAGCCCCAGCAAGTTCTGAGCTGAGGACTGACTTTCTGTTACAGTCCCAAAGACTTCTCTGAATATTGTGTGGAGAACGGAGAAAAGACACTGAAGCTAGGAAGCCAGGGAGAAGCTCTTAGAGCCATCCAGGCCAGATACCATGGTGTCTACACCAGGTGACAGGGGCATTGGTAGGGTCTCTCTCTCTCTCTCTCTCTCTCTCTCTCTCTCTCTCTCTCTGTGTGTGTGTGTGTGTGTGTGTGTAAGTGAGTCTCAAATAGCCCAGCTCTTTTTGAGCTCACCATGTACCCAAAGATGACTTTGAATTTAAAATCCTCCTGCTTCCTCCTCCCAGGTGCTGGGTTTACAGGCATGTGCTACCATAGTTCCATAGCTACCGCGTTACAGAGTTAGCACCCAGGACTGTGTGCATGCTAGGAAACACTCGACCCACGTAGCCACATCCTCAACCTTCAGACATGTACTGCCGGCCTGGAGGTGGGGCAAGGAAGAGCAGAAAGAACCTTGGAATGCAGACTCCAGCTCAAAAAGTTTAAAGGGGAAGTTCCTGGGCTTAGAAATCACTCTGGACATAAATACAAAAATAAGCTGTTAAAATTTCCATTAAGATCTTCACGTGACTACTGAACAGAGTGACGGGAAAATCCACGCTAAGCAGTGAGAGGGCCACAGGGACACGACAGCCCATTTCGCTAATGTGTTAGGAAGAAGTCACGACTGCAGACGCCCCTCCAACCACCACCATGGTCGTAGATGTAGGCTCATTTTGTGCATTTAAGCGTTAAGAGTTGCTGAGGCTAGAGAGATGGCACAGAAGACAAGAGTGCTGGCTGCTCTTTCAGAGCTGGTTTAATTTCTGGCACCTATGTGGCAGCTCGCAACCATCTGTAACTTCAGTACCAGGGGGTCCACCAACCCTTTTCTGGCCTCCTTGGACAGCGGGCATGTAAAATGGAACATAAGCACAACAAGCAGGCAAAACATTCATAGACATAAAAAGATAGAATTGTTTTCATGGGCTGGGGAGACAGATGAGGGGGTAAAGTGTTTGCCTCTCAAGCATGAGGACCTGAGTTCAATCCCCAGGACCCATTTAAGAACTGTTGCGTACATTGTAGCTCTGCCGTCCCTCTGCTGGGAGTGAAGGCAGAGGCTCACTAGGACTCCCTGGCTGGACAGCCTAACCTGCTTAGCAAGCTCCAAATTAGCGGAAAACAAAGTGTATGAAGTTGACCTCTGCCCTCTACATGTATGCACACATGCCTACACACATACATGTGACATGCACCCACACATACAACAGCAAAAACAGAACCAGCTTTGGTGTATAATGCATGGCTGGCATTTAATCCCCGTAATAGTCCCACTGTGAGTATGGATTCCAGCACCCAGACTACACGGGAGCTCTGGGAAGGAGCTGAGTCCCACCACCACCCTGTGTTGTGTCCACCCCACCAAGGCAGAACAAGGTGAGCCCACCCAGAGCCATTTGGGAGCATGGTAACTTAAAGCCTGAGCCAATAACAAGGAGTGTGTGTGTGTGTGTGTGTGTGAGAGAGAGAGAGAGAGAGAGAGAGAGAGAGAGAGAGAGAGAGAGAGAGAGAGAGAGAGATAGAGAGACAGAGAGACAGAGAGAGACAGAGACACAGAGAGAGAGAGATGAGACGGGGTTTCTGTGTGTAGCCTTGGCTGTTGGCTGTCCTAGAACTCACTCTGTAGACCAGACTGGCCTTGAACTCAGAGATCCACCTACCTCTGCCTCTCAAATGCTAGGATTAAAGGTGTGCGCCACCAATGCCCAGCTTGAGATTTATTTTTAAAATAGACTCCATGATTTGTTCAGAAATCAATATCCTTTAATACTGAGTTTTTAGCCAAAAAAAAAAAAAAAATATTGAGCTTTTGTTCCCTGCCCTGAACTCTCAGAGTCACCCGGGATGCGTCCCGGATCCCATGTCCACCCCCACAGCCCTGCACAGCCAAGAATGTGGAGAGCCAGAGATGTGTGTGGCTGGCTCCGGGTCACGAATACACAGCCATCGGCACGTGCTGAGTGGAGACTAAACTCTGGGGTGTCTAGATGTGGAGCCAGAGGGCCTGACCTTATTTCTCATCTCTCCTCTGCCACTGGCCATCTGGTTGACCTGGAGAAAAACACTGAACCTCTCTAAGCCTCAGCATCCTGATACAGTCCATAGAAAGAGTAATGGGCCCTTCGGAAGAATCCGTGGATCTTAGCATAATAATAGTGTCCTTATAATAGCAACATTTAATAAAAGCCAAGTCCACTTTTTCATGAGGCAACAATTATTTGTTGCTTTCTGTTTGCCAAATGCTCCGCTAAGTCCTTTAGAAAATTTCTCCAGGGCTGTGGAAATGGCTCACTCGGTAAAGTGTAGTGAGGCATGAGAACCTGATATGATCCCCAGAACCTGTGAGGAGAAAAAAGTCAAGCATTGTGGTACTCGATTGTAATCCCAGCACTGGAGGAGGGAGTGAGAGGAGACAGATGGATCTCTGGGACTTACCCGTCAGCCAGCCTAGCCTAATCTGCACATTTCATTGAGGAACTCTGTCTCAAACAAATGCAAGGTGAGTGATTCCTGGGAACTGACACTCAAGGTTATTCTTTGGTGTCTGCACACACTAATACATGCACCTGCCCGTGTGTGTGTGTGTGTGTGTGTGTGTGTGTGTGTGTGTGTGTCACACACACACACACACACACACACACACACTCATTTAACCCTCATAGTCACCTAATGAGTCCTCACCCAGGCTCAGGCCAGCAAATGTCCCTCCTGGGGGCTACCCTGTGAGATGTCCTTTCCAGCCATGAAGTTGTTGTGCATCTGCTGTGCCTGGAAAACTGACACTGAAGAGAACTGAGCAGACTAAGTCAGACTCCACTACTGGCGTTCGTTAGCTGTGTCTGTCTCCTTGAGTGGGTTGTTTTGCCTTCCTATGCCAGTCTTCCAATGGGAGTAAGATTGAGTGAGACAAAATGTTTTGTTTTGGTTTTTGTTTGTTTGGTTAGTTTTGGGTTTTTTGGTTTTGGTTTTTTTCCGAGATAAGGTTTCTCTGTGTAATAGCCCTAGCTGTCCTAGAACTCAATCTGTAGACCAGGCTGGCCTTGAATTCTCCAAAATCTGCCTGCCTCTGCCTCCCAAGTGCTGGGATTAAAGGCATGCACCACCACTGCCAGGCTCAAGTTGCTATTCTTGTAAGTCAGACACAGTCAGATGTTAGCAACATCTTAAGGTTCAGCCTGATGACATTTTACCTGGCAGGATCGTTAGAAGGGATGACTGGGTTTAAAATTACCAACTTATGGAACAGATTTATACCCAATAAATTTACACTGATTTTTGTATGCAGCAAGTGTCTATTAAGCATCTGCTGTATGCCACCTTCACACTCATGGTCAAGCAAACACACTAGAGCAACCTAGGATTAGATTGTGGGAGCTCGACACAGCCCATGAACCTCAGTATTGCCTGTACACATCCGTGGGAATCCTTCTCTAAGGGGCAGAACTGCAGCTTTCACCAAATTCTCAAAGGTACTCATGACCCCAAATGAGAAGATTCACAAGTGAATCACTGTGATTTGACAGTAGCATTCGTTGAGTGCTTGCTGTATACCAGTCCTGGGGATTGAGCTGGAACAAGACAGAATTGTCTCTGCCTACCAGGGGGAGAATGTAAAACAACCCCAGGCACCATAGAGTTCCAGAAAGGGGATTCAGAGAGCTGTGGGCATGGGTGTTTGGAAGCTGTGGACCAAGATAGAAAAGTCACAGACACCAGGGTCATAAATTGACAGTGGAGACAGGGCTGTGATACCTAAGGAAGGCCACAGACCTTCTGGAGAAGTCCAGCCAGGCTTCACAGAGGAGGTGGCATTTGAGGGGCTCAGAGAGTAAGAGGAGGTGCCCTGAGGGGCTAAGAACAACATGACCTCAGAAGCAAGAAGGGATGGGATGTACCTGGAGCCCTTAGGAAAGGACTCTTACTAACCGGTGTTGTCAGTCTGTCGTTTGCTGCTATCACAAAACACCTGAGGCTGCATCGTGTGTAAAGTAAGGAGGTTAATCAAACTCTCAATCACTGTTCTGCTCAAGTGGCAGGAGTGCGTGTGACAGGGAGAGGCCGCATAGACAGGTAGGAGGACTGGGGTTGTTTCTTATTCTCTCAAAAGAACTAACCAGTCTCCTGGGCCCTACAAACCTCCATCCATTCCTCCCCAGGGTTGTGCCCTTGCCTCTTAAAGAGCCCTCCGCCTCCACACGCCACACTGGGAACTAAGTCTCAAATACATGAACCTGTAGGGAACAGACCTCATCCAAACTGGAGCAGCTCTCGGTTCGGAGCAGAGGGCTGGGTGGGGTCAGTCATGCGTGGCTTGCTGTGTCAGGCAGAGGAGCTTGCCTTTGTCCAAGAGACATCCTGGCATGCTCCCAGCTAAGGCTGGGGATGGCCTCTGTCTGCTACACAATGGGGAGGTGCTGAGTCTCCTTTGCTCCTAGAATGACCTCATTTCTTCCCTCCCTTCCCAGCTGGCTGTCAGAAAGGATCTCCCCAAGTTGTGCTGAAACTCAAGAAGCTGAAAGCCAGGCACTCTGACCTATTGTATTGAGTCTGAACAAAAAAAAGGGCTTCTCCTGGCTCTGAGGAGGCTGACTTGGAAGGAGGTAGATGCAGCTCATATATCAGGTTAGGAAAGCCTATGCTAGGGCCAGCAGGAGTGAGAATTGCGAGTCCAGCCTTGAGGCTGGAGCAGTTAGAGCACTTGCAGAGGACTAAGATTCTGCAGCACCCACCTAGCAGCTCACAACTGTAACTCCAGTTCCAGGGATCCGACGCCCTCTTCTGGCTTCCATTGGCACTGCATACATATGGTGTATAAACTTACATGCAGGCAAAAAGCCACTTATACCTATACAAAACAGCCATCCTTGAGGTCTGGGGATCTATAGCTCTGTCATAGAGGATTTGCTTAGCATGCACAAGGCCATGGGTTCAATTCCCGGTCCCATAAATATAAAAGAATCAGCCTTAGGACTGGAGAGATGGCTTAACAGTTAAGAGCACTTGCTACTCCTCTTGACAACTGGGAGTTCAGTTCCCAGCACCCACACCAGGTGGCTCATAACTGTCTGTAACTCCAGCTCCAGGGAATCTGATACCTCTGGCATCCGCAAGCACCTGCACTCATGCACATGCTGTATTCGAATACACTTACCTACGCATAATTAAAAATAATCTTTTTTTAAAGAAGAAAGAATCACACCTGTGTTCAAATCTGAAAGACCTTGGGGCTCTAAGATATGTAGCCTTGGCCTGAGTGATTGGCTTCATGGAGCTATAGTTCTGTCTCACAGCTCCTGGGGGGATCAGGGAGAGATAAGAAAATACGTGCAGAGACTCTGGCATAGTGTCAGGCTCAGCAAGTGACAGATGCTGTTACTCTAATCCATCTTTGTCGCCTGGTTCCTCAGCTCCCAAGACTTGGAGCATCTATTGTGTGCAGAATTCTGAGATGTGTGCCAGGGAAAGAGCAGTTGAGATGAGAGCCCGTGCCCAGCTCTCCTCCCAGACATTCCATCTTGGCTGGTGTTTCTTATTGTCCTTGTGAAATCTTGGACTCCCATACAACATACAACTCTAATGAAAGTTTTGCATCATATGGCCAGAAGAACTCTGTGTGTGTGTGTGTGTGTGTGTGTGTGTGTGTGTGTGTTGGGGTATGCACACGTGAGTGCAGGTGCCCATGGAGGCCAGAAGAGGGCACCAGATTCCCCGGGGTCGGAGTTAATGGTTGGTTATGAGCTACCCAACATGGATGCTAGAAACCAAACTCAGGTCCCCTGCAAGAGCAGTGTGCACCCTTAACTGCTGAGCCATCTCTTCTCCCCATAAAGTTCTTCTTTTAACAACTGTGTGTGTATGTATGTATGTGCCTATGTGTAAATGCAGGCACATACATGCCACAGTATATGTATAGAGGGTGGAGAATAACCTTAGATGTTCACCTTCGTTTTCTACTTTGAAACAGTCTCTTGTTTTTCCTCTGCATGATCCATGCTAGCTGGCCCACGAGCTTCTGGGGTGCTCCCTGTCTCTTCCTGCCATCTCCTTATACGAGTGCTGGAAGTATAGATGCTGCTGGGTCCAGAGCTTGTACCCACTGATCCATCTCCCCGTCCCCATTTATAGCATTAAGAAACATAAAGATCTAGACATTTCTCAGGGGTGGATTTTCCAGGATATTTCTTTTTTATCATATTTATTACCGTAATTTTGGAATTTTATACATTTCTTTTTAAAAACTGGTTTGGCCCAGTTCTATTCTATAGCTTTTATCTGTTGTCATGGTGTGTATTTGGATGGCTGTGTTTAAGTATCAGTGTACACATACACACACATGGCGGTCAGAGGGCAAGTTTTGGGAGTCAGCTCTATCCTTCTGCCTCACCAAGGTGGAACCTCTCATATTGCTTCTGCCATGCTGCATACTCCAAGCTAGCTGACCCACAAACTTCCAGGCTATTCCCTTTCCTCTGCCTCCTATCTCTCTTTGGGAGTGCTGGGATTAGAGTTGTATACCACCACATCTGGCTTTTTTTAAAAGATTTTATTTATTTATTATGTATACAACATTCTGCTTCCATGTATATCTGCACACCAGAAGAGGGCACCAGATCTCATAATGGATGGTTATGTGGTTGCTGGGAATTGAACTCAGGACCTCTGGAAGAGCAGTCAGTGCTCTTAACCTCTGAGCCATCTCTCCAGCCCTTATTTTTATTCTTTAACATGGCTTCCAGAAATCAAACTCAGGTTGTCAGGCTCATGCAGCAAGTACTTTTACCCACTGAGTCTTTTCCCCAACTCATGAATTACTATTTTAATTTTTTAAAAGCCAATATTAATAATTGCACTTTATTCCTGGGAGTCTTAGGGCCTCTCAAAACCTATCTAGGTGCTGCCCAAAGGCTTATAGACTCTGTTTGTAACTCCTGACTGAAGAGGTCAGCTTAGCACATGTATGTATACATGTATGCACACAAACACCAACATAGTCACAAACATAACTAATGGATTAGAGTTAGGGTTGGCCATATGCTGAGCTGTTTAGTTTTTGTGGGTCTCTTCTAGTACTCCACCCTGCATTCCTGGTATAAAATCAATGGGCATGGCTGTGTTCCAATAAAACTTTATTTGTCACACAAGCAGAAGGGCCTGTAGGCTCCAACTCCCAAAATCACGGGTTTTCTGAAGTAGAAGCAGCGAATGGTTGTTGTGTGGCTCTGGGGTCATACCGCTGTGCTGGGTTGGTGGCCTATGGGGACCCAGGGACTCCAGCTTCTGAGTCCTAGAACTGCTGCCTCCAGTGTCACAGCTTCCAGCACTGAGGAGAAGGAGCGCGGGGAGCTGGGGAGCCCAGAGGACGGCTGGGCTGTTGGGATAGCCATCGGAAGGGGAAGACAGACTGATGGCTCTTCTTCCATCACAGCAATTCACTGACTCATTGCGGGTCAGAACGGGGACTTTGATGTCCAGACTGCCTCCTTCTCTTTCTGAATCCACACATAAGCCTTGGCAGCAGGTCAGGGATGAAATGAGTGTGTCCTGGGTTTGACTTCAGGCTGGTCACTGAAGAGTCCAGGGATCCAGAAAGGCTTGCGCCTCAGCTAGTGAGGGTGAGGGAATGTAGGATACTCAAGATGCGGTGAGTGAGGTACCCCATCAGGTTCCTGGACCTTGCTGCCAGTGTGTGCATGTGCGTGTGCGTGTGCCCACACCCGTGCGTGAGAGTGTGTGTTTATGTGTGTGTGGTGTACTTGTTAATGTGAGTGTGTGTGCCTGTTCATGTAGACACAATGCATGTTTGAGAGTGCTGAGGTTAATGCCAACTTTCCTACCTTTATTCTGGCTCTCACATAACCTGAAGCTCATCAATTTCACTAAGCGAGCTAGCCACTGAGCTTCAGGCATCCATCCACCTTCATTTACTTGCCCCAAACCCCAATGCTGAGATTACATGATCGTACTATTGACCTGGCTCTAATGGGTACCAGAGATTTGAACTCAGGTCCTTATGCTTGAGTGATAGGCTCATCACTGATTGACTCATCTTCCAAGCCCTCTTTTCCTTTACAACTTCCTCTTTCTTGTCCTTGCACCTGGATTCTGTATCATGGGGCAGCAAACCTACCCAGCCTTTTATTCTATGCCCTTACCAAAACCAGACATCACTAGTCGATCACAACAGTCTTTTAGCTGCTCCAGAAAGCTGTTAGTGATCTGTGATCTTGGAACAAGAGCTAGAACCTATTTGTCACCCCCACCTTTCTGCTTGCTGCCCATCAACTCAATGAGACCTGGATGGGTCAGGTGACCTGAAATGGGGTTTACTCATTCCTATGGGGGCCATATAGGAACATCCTCCCCCTGGGGGCGGGGCTGCCTGTCCTTTTTCCATTTTGCACCTCTGGAGCCTGTCCATGTAACCCAGCCTGGTCTTGTCCCCCAGTGACCCCAGGCATGAAGATCTATATTGACCCTTTCACCTATGAAGACCCTAATGAGGCAGTGCGGGAGTTTGCCAAGGAAATTGACATCTCCTGTGTCAAGATTGAGCAGGTGATTGGAGCAGGTAGGTGGCAAATGCCTCAAGGGACCGTGGCTTTGGCCATGGGTGGGCTAGCTCAGGGTAACCCTGGAGTTGACGGTCAGTTGAAGACCAAGGGCCACAAAGGACCCTCCTAAAACTATTACATATGCAGAGGGAAAACAGGCTGGCATGAGGCACAGCAAGTCAAAGATTGAAGTGAATCTGGAGCCCAGCTCTGACCTTTCCACCATCCACCATGGTCTTGTCCCCATCTCCTCAAATCTCCCCATGTCCTCATCCCCAGTACCCAACTTTCCCAAAAGTGGCTGGGTTTGCTCTAGGCTCCACATTCACAGCGGGATCCTGTATCCAATAGAAATGAGCTCGTCAAGCACCCACAATGGGAGTGACAGGCAACAAGGAGGTAACACTTCCCACCTGACACATGACACTATGCCTGTCTCAATGTGTCTATCCCAGGGGAGTTTGGTGAGGTCTGCAGTGGCCATTTGAAGCTGCCAGGCAAGAGAGAGATCTTTGTAGCTATCAAGACCCTCAAGTCAGGCTACACGGAGAAGCAGCGCCGGGACTTCCTGAGTGAGGCATCCATCATGGGCCAGTTCGACCACCCCAACGTCATCCATCTGGAAGGGGTTGTCACCAAGAGCACGCCTGTCATGATCATCACTGAGTTCATGGAGAACGGTTCCCTGGACTCCTTCCTCCGGGTAGGGAGAGCCCCAGGGATGTGAGCAGGGTAGGAAAGGGGCTGATTGGGCATAATTTCATCAGAGCTTGAGAAAGCTCTAGGTCAGGAATGGCTTACCAGCCACCACCTTCCATTATGTTACCCTAACAGGCATTGTTAATCAATCCCAGAGCTCCCTCCCACTCCGCTCAGAAGCAACTCAGAGTCCTTCTCAATGTGGTTCGCTGGGAATCCCAGGCATTCTCTCAGGGTTGTACAACCTGAGGTGCATGCCCGCCCATGCTCAGGAAGCATTCTCATTACACAGCAGAATAGAGTTCAGAGATCAGAAACATTTGCCTAAGGTCAGTGGTCAAAAGAGGGAGCCCAGACCATAACCAGGGGTGTTGACACCCCATCCTGGTGTCCACCAGACTTTGTAGCTCTCCAGAGTTGCACAAGATAAGGGAGAAGATGAAGCATAAGGCCAACAGATGAATCCCCTCAGGAGAGCACAGTCAGCCCTCAAGACAAGAGAGCATTGGCCTCTGGGCCAGCTGCCACTCAACAAATGTTTATGAAGTTGATGCTAGCACCTTCCATGTACCTTCCTGTTTAAGTCAGAGCAGCCCTAGGGGTCACATGTCACTTCTGCCCTGTCTAACAGGTGAGCAATTAGGCTCACAGAGAGTGGGTCATATGTCCACGTTTGCACTGCCAAGAAGAGACAGAGTTGGGGTCAGTCTATGTACGCTTACTCCAAGGCTGAGGTTCTCACCCCCTTCCTCAGGTTGGCCTCTCCTAGGCCACTCTGAGGTTCCTGGGTGTCTGAGTCCTTCCCAGGATGTGTACAAAGGTGGCAGACACCTGCCGTTCTGAGACGTTCCAGAGCTCTGACACTTCCGTTGACTCTATTTTCCACCCTCCCTGAAGCAAAATGATGGGCAGTTCACAGTCATCCAGCTGGTGGGCATGCTTCGGGGCATCGCAGCTGGCATGAAGTACCTGGCAGACATGAACTATGTACACCGGGACCTCGCCGCACGCAACATCCTCGTCAACAGCAACCTGGTTTGCAAGGTGTCTGACTTCGGGCTCTCACGCTTCCTGGAGGACGACACCTCTGACCCCACCTATACCAGTGCTCTGGTAAGGGGACATCAAGTGTCCTTGGGCATAGACATCTCTCCATGCTATGTGTATCTACTGACCTGCCCAAGTAAAGCCTTACTGGGCCCTGGAGACAGGAAGGGACACACGGAAAGCCTCCTGCACTCGTGGATCTCCTGGGCTGCTGAGGCAGGGAGACAATGAGCAGAAGGGAGTGAGGGGCTGAGAGCCAGAACATAGCCTTGGAAGGCAAGAGAGACATGAGCACACTGTGGAATCTAGGGGACTGGTAACTCTCTGAGAACCAGGGAGAGGCTTTTCAGGGACTCAACGGTGAAAAGGTGGGCTCCAGATGGCAGTGTGGGGACAGGCACTCCCAGCAGAGGAACAGCATATGCAAATGTCCTGTGGCTGAAGCAACTGAGGAGTTTGGGAAACAATGAGATTCTTTCTTCCTGGGGTCTGACAGAGCACAGTGTGGGGAGTATTGAGAGAAGAGGTCAGACAGGTCACCATCCCTGCCCATCAACCTCTTCTCTCTGCTCCCTAGGGTGGGAAGATCCCCATCCGCTGGACAGCACCGGAAGCCATCCAGTACCGGAAGTTCACCTCAGCCAGCGATGTGTGGAGCTATGGCATTGTTATGTGGGAGGTGATGTCCTACGGGGAACGGCCCTACTGGGACATGACCAACCAGGACGTAAGTCTCCAGGGTGTGGGTAGTGCCTTGCTGGCCTGCCAGGTTGAGGAGCCCAAGACCAGGGGCTCCTGGTCTTGTGCTGATTTCCCTGAGGTTGAAGGCTTGGTTCCCAGGCTGATGAACATTGGACTCTCAAAAAGAGGGGCTAGGGAGGTCCACCCTCTCATCAGCAAATCCTCAGCATGTGGGAGTGGCCCGGCCCGAGAGACCCACGATGCTTGCTCGCTCTCTCTCTCTCTCTCTCTCTCTCTCTCTCTCTCTCTCTCGCTCGCTCTCGCTCTCTCTGTGTGTGTGTGTGTGTGTGTGTGTGTGTGTGTGTGTGTGTGTTCACACTAAGATACTGTGATGCATGTGTGAAAGTTGGAGGACCACCGTGGGAATCAGTTCTCTGTTTCCACCGTGCAGGGGCTGGGTTCTTGGTAGTGAGCACCTTTACCTGCTGAGCCATCTCATTGGCCCCAAGATAATTTTTCAGGGAACCAGCTGCAAGCATCAGGGACCATTATGGTCAGGTGCAGAACACAGATGTCAAGGCTTGTGGGTGTGGAGGCCAGGATAGTCAGGACAAGGTCAGCCAAGAAGTCATCACAGAATCAGTAGCACTCGGAGAGCTGGGGAGTGCCGGGGGAAGAACAGCTCTTGCAGAGGTTCAGAGGAGAGGATGAGAAGTGGGGCCAGAAACCTTGGTGAGGCTTTGTGCCTGAAAAGATCAACTTAAAAGGAAGAAAGGTTTGTTTGAGCTCACAGTTCCCATCTGTATCCAGTTGGCCCATTTCTTTGTGGACCATACATGGCAGTGGGAATGTAAAGGAAACAGCCTGTTTCATAGCAGTTAAGAAGCAAAGAGAATGGAGGAAAAGGGACCAGCATCCCAGCATCCTCTCCCAGGGCATGTCTCCAGCAGTTTACCTTCCTCCCACTAGGCCCCACCCCCTAAAAGATCTACCACCCTCAAATAGTGCACCAGGCTGAGGTCCAAGCCTCCAGCACATGGGTCTTTGAGTGACATTTGAGATCTGCACTGGAGCAGGCTTGGGGGGGGGGGAGTTTGGAGTCACCCCAGGGATTTCCATTCGCACAAATACACTGGAAAGATGCAGCTCCTTGCAGGGGAAATCCGTTAAGCTGTGGTGAAGTCCCAGAAGATGAATTTTATCTTCGTGGTGGCAGAGCGGGTTGAAGCCATTGGCCTCCTATTTCTGACAGAGGGGCAGGTATTGGCTCTAAGGTCACCAGCCAGCTCAGGGCCCCCCTCTGTCCCCAGATCTCTATGACACTCATATTAAGGATATGACCATCCTAAAGTCAAATGGGGGGCCAGCAGGGATGTCCACAGCCGTAAGAGCCAGGAGGGGGCTTACAGATAATGAGAACAAAGAGCTGGGACAGCACAGCACAATAGAGTCACCCTGATAGGTCTTGAGGACAGGCTACCTGAGGTTACTGGATTTCCAAGGTTGACAGAGAGAGAGAGAGAGAGAGAGAGAGAGAGAGAGAGAGAGAGAGCAAAAGGACTTAGCATAGGAGACAGACAGGTGATGGTGGCACCCAGGAAGCCACTGGAGCTAGAGGAGGCTCCATGGGTCAGGCCTGCAATGCTCCAGGGATAAATATTCCTGGCAGGGGTCTAAAGTCCTTACCCCAACCACCCAACCCCACTCTGCCTCTGTGATTTCCCAGGTAATCAATGCTATTGAACAGGACTACCGGCTACCTCCGCCCATGGACTGCCCGAGCGCCCTACACCAGCTCATGCTGGACTGCTGGCAGAAGGACCGCAACCATCGGCCCAAGTTCGGACAAATTGTCAACACACTGGACAAGATGATCCGAAACCCCAACAGCCTCAAAGCCATGGCACCACTATCCTCTGGGTATGACCGCCCTGGCCCCACCCAGGTCTCCAAGCCCTCACTTCTGGGTGTGATTCACATTAGTCCTACCCATCTCCTCTGGGTTCTGTCCAGGCCCCACCCAGTCTGGGGTGGTGGAGGAAGACCCTTGTAAAGCAGGGTTGGAGAGGCCAGCATTTAGAAAATGCTGTCTACAGTCTGGAGTCTCAGTGGCAACTGGCTGTGCTCAGCACAGATTCCTCCCACTGGTCTTCCTTCCTCTCTTCACACCGAGCTGGGGCTCTTGGTGTCCATTTGTGCCCTCAGTGGCACATGTACAAATGTACACACACACACACACACACACACACACACACACACACAATTTGTGCAAAGTCCTGCATACACAGAGCTAGGCACAAGCACTCATGCTTGGTCTCACACAAGCACAGCCTCACACACAGACACACACACAGCTTCAGAGTCACCAATGTACACATGCCCCCATTCAGAAGGACATACCCACCACACACATGTCCCCAGGGTGGAAATACCAGCTCAGCCCCAGGACAGGGCTTAGGGACCCTGGGACTTCCTTTCTGAGGTCCCAGGGCATGCTCCATTAGGCTTGCCTCATTATTTCTGACCCTGCTCATTCTTACTCTCTGGACCCAAGGACAGATGTCACACAGGTCATCTGTCTTCCACAGGTCACATAGCTGCTGGCCCTACTCTCAGGTAGCCTCAGTCCCACAGGGTTTAGCGGGGAGTGTGTAACCAGGTACCTCACCACTAGGACCAGCCATACCTGGAAATTCCTTGAGTCATAGTCCTTCTGTGGCCATGAGGCTTTTGTGCTAGCCTCTACCTGTTGCCCCTCACCCTGACCCTGTGCAAGCAATTCTTCATTCTAGAGCAGTGGTTCTCAGCCTTCCTAATGCTGCAACCCTTTACCACAGTTCCTCATGTTGTGACCCACCCCCAACCGAATTCTTTTCATTGCTACTTCAGAACTGTAATTTTGCTATTGTTGTGATCATAATGTCAATATCTGTGTGTTCTGATGGTCTTAGGTGATTCCTGTGAAAGGGTTGTTAGGCCCCAGAGGGGTCACAATCCACAGGTTGCAAACTGCTGCCCTAAATGAAGCCACTGGGCCCTTCCCCTCATGAGAGCTGTGCACTCCTTACCCACCCAGAGGCTGTCCCCATTAGCTCTGAGCCTCGTCTGCATGCGGATCTGATAGTGTGGTCCGGATGCCGGAAGCACATACCAGGAGCAGAGAAAGATGATGAATGGCTGTAGGGGAGGAAGCAGGGACTAGCTGGAACCATTGTCCCGCCAAAGTCCTGCCTGTAATTGGGGGGTTTCTAGAGCCTCCCAGCTTTCCTAGTTCCTCTGGCACTCATAGATACTCACTTGTACAAGTTCTAATCATGCCCATATTCACACATAAACATCTACACACACTCACCTGTGTTCACACAGGGTTACCCACTCAGGCACCCCACACATTCCTGTCCTCCACCTGGCTGTGGGCATGTGCCCTGACCATCCCTGTCACCTGCCCCTCCCCCAGCATCAACCTGCCTCTGCTGGACCGAACCATCCCTGACTACACCAGCTTTAACACGGTGGATGAGTGGCTGGAAGCCATCAAGATGGGCCAGTACAAGGAGAGCTTCGCCAACGCAGGCTTCACCTCCTTTGACGCTGTGTCTCAGATGATGATGGAGTGAGTACCTCTCGGCCTCCACCCATTGCAAGCTGTTGACATCTGCTTCCCACCCACCCCTCCAGCCAAATGGGGAGCACTGGAGAGCGCGTAGACCGTGATAGCAGGGATAGCGGGGACTAAGGAGTCACGCTATCCAGATCCATAGCTGGCTCTGCCTGGTGCCTTCTGGTCTCTGGCTGGGGCAATCCCAGAAGGGTTGGGAAGAATTTTCATCTACAAACCAGGGTGTAGTGAAGGAAAATCAAGGAAGTGGGTACATGACCAATACAGGGCTGCCCCTGCTTCCCGATGGCCGTAGGGCCTCCTGCCTCCCCATTGGCTGATATGGCCCCAGAATCTCTCAGATCAGCTTTGACAATTGCCCATCCCCACATCCTTTCCCTGTCCCTTAACACTGAGGGCCTGGGGAAGTTAAGGCAACTGGCCCACCACCCTCCCAACACATACATTTTTCTAACTGTGTCCATCTCTCCCAAAGGGACATTCTCCGGGTTGGGGTCACCCTAGCTGGCCACCAGAAAAAAATCCTGAACAGTATCCAGGTGATGCGGGCCCAGATGAACCAGATCCAGTCTGTGGAGGTTTGACGTTCGCCTGCCTCGGCTTGCCTCTTCCTCCACGCCGCCCCCTAAGCCCCCTATGTCGGTCCCTCTGCTACCCTGTCCACTGCAGGGTCAGCCACCTGCCAGGAGGCCACAGGCAACAGGAAGAACCAAGCAGCACTCCAGCCAATGAGACGACACCAAGAACCCATGCAAGTCAAAGGAACGAAAAGGGAATGGGGGAAACTGGCACCTAGATCTGGGAGGGGGCGGGACAGGCAAGGACCAGGACCGTTTGTTCAAAGAGGATTCTCATAAGGAGAGTGATGATGGTTCTTAGGGGAGAAAAGAAAAGGGCTTGGGAGATCCACGCGGTCTGTCCCATTGGAAGCCAAAAGCATTTTCTCTCCAACTCCTTCTGGGAAGGTTGAGCTGGCCGGAGCCAAGAAACATTTCCAGGAAAATTAATATGAAGGGAAGAGATGGGCCACCCTCCTTGCCTGGCCTTAGCTGTTTCTTGGAGCATCACTAACGGCCCAGCCCTAGGCACAAGGAGCAGAGAGACAGGCAGCCGCCCCAAATAGGCTCTGAGGAAGTCCATTCCAGCTGCCACCAGCAGACAGAATAGTTCTGTCTTGGGAGACAATTTCAAAAACTCCAAGAGACTTTCTGCTAATGGCTCAGGAGGTGGAAGAGGAGCTCCTGACCTCCCAGGTCACACCAAACAGGCCAGATCTTCCTGAGGTCAGCCACCCAGGTCTGCAGCCCCAGGAGGCCCTGCCCTGCCCGGGTGCCTGCTCCCCGCTCAGCCTCACCCTGAGGACGATGCTGATGCTGCGGTGACTGCCATCAGCTACAACTGCCACTGAGAAGCATTGATCTTGCATCTGGGTTTGTTTACAGCAATTTGTGGACTGGGGGTATTTTGACCGGGGTGGCTTTGGTCTGGGGAGGGTTTGTTTGTTGGGTTTTTTAAATGACAATGAAGAGACACTTTGACATTTCCTACCTTTTGAGGACTTGATCCTTCTCCAGGAAGAAGGTGCTTTCTGCTTACTGACTTAGGCAATACACCAAGGGCGAGATTTTATATGCACATTTCTGGATTTTTATATGCTTTTCATTGACACCCCTCCCTCCTCCCAACTGCTGCCAGGCCTCACCAAAGCCAACTGTCACAGGGCCACGTGGGCCATTCAGAGACCTCAGTGGGACTGGGGGAGCAGAAGGAGTTGCACCAAGCATCCAAGCATTCCTACCTTGGAAAGCTGACTAAGACAGATGAGGGCTCTGAGGCCGGGAGTCCTCCCTGTCTCCCTGCCTCCCTGCCTCCCTGCCTCCCTGCCTCCCTGCCTCCCTGC